TTGCACTTCCGACAGATGTTGTTATTTTGCCCTTCGGACATTGAGAACAGGATGTAGCTCCTTTTTGATCTTGGTAGTGGTTATATGGGCATCTTACACAAGGTATGAGACCCGTTTTAGAGAACGTACCAGGTCTACACGTATCTGACAAAATTCATTATAAAACAGATATGAGAAGCCCTTTTCTATAAATTACTGAATATGATCGATATTTAAATACGTAGTAACTATCTTTGATGACGTAGCATTTGTACTTGATTCCTTATGTAAGTCCCATTCAACCTTTATGAGTTTTATCTTATAAACAAACCTAATTTACTCTGAAAATCTTCCATATTATCATTCATCATTCATCTTAGTGTTTTCACTAAAATAACTTTTCCATATACATGTATATTATATGCATTTTCTTTTTGTACCAACCCAACCCAGTTCCAAAGGTACATGATTTGAACAAACTTAAATCATTGTCAATGTATTACCATGGATAAGAATATTTGCACGCAATGCGTCAAATGAACAAACTGAAATTTTCATAACTCACTGCTCGGACACATTCAAATCCTGTGACCGTGAACTTATCCAAATTCCCTTGGTAAGGGGCAGGATTTTCAAATGTTTCCTCACTTCACAATTAACTTTTGTTTCAAACAAGTGTTAAATTAAGCTTCTGACAGAAGTAGTCAACACCAAGCTTTTATATAGTTTTGTAACTTTGTAGTTCAATTTCAAATTTTCTAAAAAAAAAAAAAAAAAAAAAAAAAAAAAAAAAAAAAACATTAACTTTTAAACATTCCGACATTTTTTTTTCTTGGAATTTACTCTTGTCCAAAATAATCTGCCTCAACCAATCTTAGTTTTCTCATATTTCAGCTTGAAAGTTACAAATTTGTTCAGGCACGACTAAATTTTTTTTTATTTCTGTAAACGCATTTTTCCCCCGTAATAAAATTTTCCAGGATATATAGTTTTAATTTGTATTGACCTTCCGTCTAGCTGCCTGACTGTCTCTATCCATTTGTCTAATTGTCCACAAAAACTTAAACCTTGCTCATAACTTTCGCTTCGGTGTGGCAACAGCTTTTTTCACAGGTGTATACATGTACCTTGAGACAAAACCTTTCTTTGGGTACCACCAATTGATTTTGACCTTAAAGTTCGATTCACTTTTACAAAAAATAAATGCCTAACAATAATCTTGACCATAACTATTAATAAGCTGTAGCTAGGGATTTCATGCTTTACATGTAAATTCATTTTGACAAGACCTTTTATTTGCTATAATTTTTTTTTACCTTGACCATAGAGTTTGACCAACTTTTTAAAAACTTTAATCTTGACCATAGCTTTTGAACAGATGCTAAAAGAACTTTCATATTTGCAGGTGTTTTTCTTCTGAAAAAGCCTTCCTCTGATACCAACAGTTTTGACCTCTTGAACTTGACCTACGAGTTTGGTATGAATTTAAGAAACTATAATCTTCGCCATTAGCTGTCATACTGGGATATCAGTGTTTCACAAACACTCATCGTTTCGTTTTCCATTTTTGTTTTTCATATTGACAAATTGATGTTCAATAAAGTTGCAACCTCGAAGAGCAGATGTCTATATAATGTATCTTCTTTGAGTAAGAACATAACAGTTCGCTTCCATTAAGCTGTTTCATTTAATTTCAGCATCTATTTTCCTGACATATTTACCAATCGCAATGAAATGCAAAGACTCCATACCAGTAGCGTAATGCTGTAAACTATTCGCTACTCATATATCAGTTTCTTATTAACATTTATAGATGAATGACATAAAATAACCAAAACGGAATACATTGCAGTATGAAATAGGGAGGGTAAAATTGGTTAGATAGAAAGTTTTAATATCCTGTCATACCTTTACAATCGGTTTTTGACAAACTTCCTTTTGATATTGTTGACGTTCCCGCTGGACACTTTGTACATACTGCACTTTCTTCTGTTTCCTTGTAGGTTCCAATAAGGCAGTCAAGACATTTGCTTTCCGTAGTATCTAAGTATGTTCCAGGTGGGCATGGAACTATTAAATCAATTAGATTTTAAACAATACATCAAACAGTAAAATACAGCAATTTTTTTCAAATAATATGCATGTACTATAATAAGCATTAAAACATATATTATATACCACAAGAGATTGTTGAAGATTTCCAAATATATCCTGGATCGCATACGCCTACCATTTCATCGATCTGGAAACTTTCGGAGTCGACTTTCATATCACCGACGTCAAGAGTACCATTCATTGCACTTTCTTTTACGACATCCATGTATTTATTTTGAAGTTTTGGAACAATGTTTACGATATTCGTAGTATTTGAGCTTAGGAAACGTGTTTGTAGTTCAAATTGAACCTTAAGTGTGGTTCTTCTTACAGCAGCTCGCCTTTTTCGGTTAGATATTTCTCCACAAGAGACGGAAACATTTGCAACATTGCAGGAAATTTCATCTGGACAAATGCCATCAAACCCTCCGTTATCATTCATATCCCTTATATATGTAATAAAATTTGTTCTTATCTCCTCTTGAACTGTTTTGTTGTTGCAGTCTCCAGTGTAGTAAAAGAATTCCATCAATGTATTTGATTCAGATGGAAGTCGTTTAGCTAAAAGTAAATTTAAGAGGCACATCTTACATATCCAATCAAAATATTTATATATTGCTAATAAATAGTACTGTATAACGGGTTTTCTTGGCGGGTGTAAAATTTGGCGTTTTGCCTACTCAAAGGTATGCCAATAATTTTGGCGTAATTTATTTTAGCGGACACAGGGTTTCAGCTCTTTGTAGATGGACACTAAGAAGAGTACTGACTATTTTAGCGATTAATAATTTAGCGGACTATAATAAAAATGCCAAAATTAGCACCCCGCTAAAATTACCCGCTATACGGTAATCATAAAAAAATGCTTAAAATCTATAGAATTATAGCGTACAATATCTTCAAGTTTTTTTTTTTATTTTTGACATTGAAATTATCAATTAATAATTTAGTACGTATTAGCCTTAATAAAATACATTTTTGAAAAAATAAATCTGAAGATCTAGCATTCAGTATTTAAACGCTGTTCTATCAAGAAATCTCTTCAATTGCAGTTCTTTTTTTTAATAATTTTGCCCTATGTCCTGCCCCTAATACCCAGGGGTCATGATTCGAAGGAACTTGAATCTACACTCAAGGGGACTTCAGCTAAAGTGAAAGAAAAAACCAAACAACCAACCAAACAGAAAATGCTATCATACATGTATATATCAAATTCAAAATTAATCATTATCAACAAGAATTCCTTGGTTTACTTTTTGTATTTCCAGTTACCTGTGCAATTAGGAACAGTATTGGAGGGAATATAAATTCCCTTTGTTTCTGAGCAGACGTATCGACCAGTAAACACCTTATTATTTGAACCAACAGCTCCATTCGGGATATCATAGCCTTCCATGCATTGCATTTGACAAAATACACCGTATAACCATTCATCACATGCCATTGCACCATTGGCTGGGGCTGGAAGAGGTTCGCAGGGATTCTCTAAGAAAAAATGTTCATTTAACATATTACAATTAACTTTAGTTTCTAAAACGCATGTTTGTTCCTTATAAATTGAAAAAAAAGTTTTTTATATAAGCTGAACTATGATAGATCTTCATAATTTATACATGTATACCTTATTTTAACGCAAAAAGGCATTGGTTAATGCAGGTATTTGGTAAATGCAGGTGGTGTATTGCGAAAAGATGAAACATATGGAGATATCGAACAGTTTTCAAGATCAAAAGTGCATAAAACAATTCAAATTAGGCGCAGAGCAAACACAGACCTCCAAAACATCAGAGGTGGGATCAGGTACCATGGAGTAGTGAGCATCCCCTGCCGACCGGTCACACCCGCCGTGTGCTTCGCTAAAACACTGAATCCAAACGTCTCACTTAAACCAGGTTTGTTCAGTATTTTACAGCAATTTATTAGTATATGAGTCATGACATGCATATCGAATTAAGTTAATTTAAACACGTTTTGTTAATGATGGAAGGTTTTCGGTTTGTAATAGTTCCATTTATGTAAAACATACATATTTTTCACGTAGACATATTAACAAAGCACTATGTACACACAAACTGCAAAAAATCCTATTAAGGTTTACTATAAAAATGAAATTTTAAATCCAATGAAAACATAAGGTTCATGGACTTCATCGCTCATATTAGCACAGGTGCAAGGAAAACGCACAAATAAGTTTAGTTTCAAAGAAATCAAATGAGGATACTTCTATATTTATATAACAGATGGCTTTGCTGTTCTTGAGCAGAAGGGTTTTTTAAAGATGTTTTTCCATGTAAATTACCGTTTAAAAATATTATCCCTTTGTGGCCCCTCTCTATCCCCATGGGTCATGATTAGAACAAATTTGAATTTGAATACGTAAGGATGCTCTCAGATCAAAATGTCAAAACATCGATTTTCTGTTCTTGAAAATATTTTCCCTATATACCGGTATTTTTATGAAAAAAATTTGATCCTCCATCCTGACCCCACATTTTTTTTTCATATTGATAAAGTAAAAAAAGGTGTAAAAAAGCAGTATTTCTTCATTTAAAAAAACATCACTGCTTTCTTTATTTAATTCAAATTGGAAGGAAATACTCACTTTTACAGTATGGCATCTTTTGACCATAATTCCATTCACCTCTCACCGTTGCCTGACCTTTTTTCTCACAGAAAACGGTAGTATTTCCTACCACTTCAAAAGTTCCACAGTCTATCCGGCATTCCACACCAGAAGTTAAACCATCTGGGCAGTCTACATTCATGTACCGATCTGGAAGAATTGGCCAACCACAAGATATTTCTGAAAGAAGATGTATGTGTGATACTTTCAAAAGTATATAAGACTAGTCGTCAAAATATTTAACATACTTTTGTAGCAGCAACCATATTTGAACGCAGATTCTTACAGCTTATACAAGTACACGCTACAATGTGACTAAAATAACATTCGTCAATACAGCATACAGAAACCTGGCTCAAAGTACACAAATACTGCCCTCCTCCCAGCCAATTATATTCTCGATTGCAAGCAATATTTAAAAAATCCAAGTACTCCTCTATTTTAAGTAGCTTTCAATAAAACAGCGCGCAGATAGACACCATTCTTTCATTTGTCCTTATTATCGTTAATGACCAATGTTACCAGACTGTCTTAATTCTTAAATGACAGGATGATCTGTACCACTTGATTTAGCTATATTTAAATTTCCTAATAACAACAACAAAAAGTCGGTTCACTGACTTAACATAATACATATATCGAAATGCAACCTTTTATAGACTATAATTATAATATTGAAAACTTACCATCTACAGTAACTCGAAAATTGCAGTCATTGTTTGAATTTCCAGATGAATCAGTGACTTTGTACTTTATTTGTGTGGTTCCGACATAGAACATCGAACCATTTGGAGGACCTTCTGTCTGTTGGATCATCAAATTGCCTCCCGAGTTGTCCGCAGCTCTAGGCATGGACCAAGTGACATGTGTGTAGTTGGCACGAGCATCGGCAAACAGATTAATGTCTGAGGGACAATACACAATAATTGGACGCGTGGTATCTGTTTTGAAAAAAATAAAACATGACGTCCATTAGCTATATTCCTCACCTGTCTAATTTGGCTAGGAAAAGCAGATTTTTTTTTTCAGCTTCAAATAACAAGGGGCATGATTTAAACAAATTTAAACCTACACTTCAACAAGATGACTCTGATGTAATATGACTAATCGCCTGAATCTATATAAACTGATTATGCTTTCATTTAAATATGTCCAATTGAGGCTTTTCTGGTCTTTAAAAGAATAGTGGGTTTTGAAAAGATGGCAAAAATGTTTACACATGAATACTAGACAGAGGCTGTGACCCAAGCTCACTTGACCCTTCGGTTCAGGTGCGTTTAATATTTTTTGTTTGTTATTTTATTTAAATTTTATTCTTTCTGGTTCTCGAGAAAAACATTTTTCCTGATACAATGTACATTCGATTCCCTATTTTGGCCCCACTCTACCTCCCACGAACATAATTTAACAATTTTAAATTTATACTTTTTCATAATGCTTAACGTAAGTTTTCAGATTGTCAGGTCCATTGGTTCTTAAGATTTTTAAAGCTTTTTTTTTTATATCTAGAACTGTAGAACTTTGATTTCCTATTGTAGTCATTGTATGAAATAATTACAATCTACACATTGTCAAAAAGTTTCCGCACAAGTGTCGGGTTTTAAGCCATAGAGAAGACGAATTTTTACAATAACCTTACCTTATTAAAATTTTTAACTTTACCTAACTATCTTCCCTTGGAAAAAAGCCTAGCCCTCCATTTTCAATTTATTTTTTTTAAGAATCCCTTTTCCCAGATATGTTTTGTTCCAACTTCGTTACAACTTTTCTAAAATTGATTTCTTTATTTTAATCTCTTTCTTAATCCCTCTCAAGTTATTAATTATTGCCTGTACGAGCATTGTTACACATTTATATGCGTGAAAATATCATATAATTGCATAAGATTCAGATATACCTGCACAGTCAGGTAGTTTTGATGACCAGGACTTGTCAGCTTGGCAAATGACACTGTTGACCCCTGGTGACAAGGTATACCCCTGTTTACACTCTGCTTGGCATTTCGATTCGTATGTGTAATCTCTACAATTAACTTTCCCATTGTTCACCTTCAATTTCATGTCATGTTTGTTGCAAGTGACCTCTGAAAGTACAAAAGTGTAAACAAATTTATTAATTTTTTTTTGTATTATATATATATAAAACTCTTTTCTTTCAAATTTTCAAGGATGGAAAACAATTATTTATCAATTAAACAAAATTGGTATTCTTTTCGGATGAGTCCTTTTTTTACCTTTGATTATTTGTAATAACAATGTTGGTGTCATCAGAATGAGAAAACATGATGATCTACCTCTCAGGTCTTATATTTAGGTAAACATAAACCACGAAATTCAAATTTCATTCATATCTTTATTTATATATAAAAAAAAAATAAATAATAGCAACAGCCACCTGTGTGGCAACTCATTTAAAAGAATTAAGCTCTTTGAAAAAAAGCAAAGTGCCTAAAAAATTAACACACTTCTTAAAATTTCAAAGTGCGTTGAAAGTGTAGATCAGCATTTTTTCTTTACCACGGGGACAGTTAATACACTTATGAACACAAATTGCTAAAATCGAAATTCTTGACTTACTCGTCAGTAAAAGATACATGTAGTTTCATTTTGTTATATACAGTGTATTTCTTTTGAAAAACGTCCATGAATTAATTTACCCTCATCAAGAGCTCGAGGAGAATACACCTGTAATTATACATTTGAGATTTGCTGCCGTAAATTATTGGATTGATTTCACAATTTGCCTCAATATGTGTCAACGAGAGTAATTTTTTTTCATCGAAAGAAGGACAGTAATTATCATTGACCACTTTGAAGAAATTTTGTTTCAAAGTGCTTGAAGGTGGTCCCAAAATAAATGCACTTGGAATTCTTTTGATTTTTTTTTTCAAGTGCCCTTTTTTCAAAGTGCGTTGAAACATACCTGCTTGACTTTGTGACCCAAGCAAAACGCAAGAAGATAAGAAAAATTAATATTCGAATATCCATTATTATACAATCATTATGACTATATTTATCTGCCTTTTGGTAAAACATGTGTAGAATATACTTATTAACTCTTGAAATATGTATTTATTCGATAACAAAATACATGTAGTGGTAAAATATCAATATTAATAAAACCATAATTATTTACGTCCGTAAATACAACGTTGTTTGCATCTGTGTCATGACACATTTACAAATATAAAGGTCATCACCCATTCCCCCTAAAACTGGATAGTGTCAAAATATTTTAATAGGATAATATATTTCAACCCTCATTTTATCTGTTTGATAGCTTTATTTCGAAATAATACTCGTGTATTTTTATGAAACCCTGATTATTTGGGCATGCGTAATATGATCTTACTCTGAGCACATTCCAGCATATGTCCAAAAGGCGTAATAACAGGTATACTCATTTTCACAATCGCTATCAATTATTGAAGAATACTGAAATAAAATGATAAAACTTACTTTTGCAAGTTGGGATGTTCCCGCTAAAGGATTTGTCTGCCAAACATTCCAGTGTAATTTGTTTTACACCCGGTTTTATTTCATATCCAGTAATACATCGAAGATGACATTTGCTGCCGTAAATTATTGGATTTCTTTCACACTTTGCCTCCATATTTGCCAACGACAGTAAATTTTTATCGAAAGAAGGACATTTTATAACTGAAAAGGAATAAATTCAGAAATAAATATCGTAGAACATGAACTTGGTATCTTGTATCTACACAAATTACACAATTTTTCATTCTGTACGGTTTTCATTCTGTACGGTTTGCATGTTTAATGATATTTTGAACGATTCTTTGTTTTATTCACCCCCTTGTAAACCTTGATACCTCTATCTGGTTTATTTGTCCGTGATTTAGACAACTCTGAATTTACATTATGGTGTATATAAAGGATCTCCCATGATTTGTAGTTGGATATGATTTTTATCCAACGAGTTGTGTGTGTCTTATCCTCTAGCCTTGGCGAGAGGATAAAAACACACAACGAGTTGGATAAAAATCATATCCAACTACAAATCACGAGAAAATTCTTTTTATCCCATGTTTAATATTTCACAACTAATGTTTTACACTGTTTATAATGGACTCCACTTCATTTCCTTCATCACGCTAACGCAGAAACCATTGTGACGTCACAACTGTGGGATATTACAAAAATATCCAATTAGTCATATCCACGGGATAAAGGGGTAAACATGTGATAAATACCTTTAATGTTAAAATGCCACACATTACGCAGATTTGTTTTAGGTGTAAGAACGAAAGTTACATGACTGTTTTACGTACTAGTATTATCTGGGAAACAAATTACATGGCTTGCGTAAATAATTTCTGATTTTGTGCGTGCGCGAACAGACCATATCAGCCTTCCTTCATGTATTTATAAATCGACATTATTTTAATACATTCAAAGATTTTTTTCCCAATATTTACTATATAAAGGAATAATAAATGAGTTATACCTGTACCTGATGCCAAATAATGGTAAGCTATGGTTGAATGTAAAGATAAAAAACAATATCTACATTTTTTTTGACAACCCTCGTAAAATATCAAGATAAATCAAAGTAGAGAATCAAAATATTAATAAAATAATGACAATATTACCATTTACAGTTATTTTAAAGGGACAACTTGCACGTTCGCCATGTTTATCTGTTGCTACAAAATACCATTTTGTCTCTCCCTCACCGGCTCTGATAGGGTTAGGAATACCTGACGGTGAAGTTGTAACACTGGAAAATAAAAATGTTTAAATGTGGACACATTGATTCATATTTACCACATTTCTTTTAACTTTGCATATAAGATGATTGATATTCAACGATCAACAAGAACATGCAAATCCTATCCCCCCGGGAGGGAGATGGGTGGGTCTTAATCTAAACAACATGAGGATGCTTCCATATAAATTTGATCACTCATGTCTTTCGTATTATTCGGAGAAGAAAAGAGTTATATGTTTTTCCCTTTATATATCTTTTGAAAATTTGATTGCCTTTAGTGGCCACTTCCTACACCAGGGGATCGAGATTTGAACGAATTTAAATCTGAACAATTTGAAGATGCTGCTATATTAATATGACTGATCGTGATCTTGCTGTTCTTTATAAGAAAACTTAAAGATTTTTTTTGTAACATATGCATGCTCAACAACAAACGAAGTATACGTATTATTAAACTGTTATTTTTAGAAGTTTCAATAAAATATCTTACCCTATGGAAGGTTGTTGTCGATCAGAAGCTGTAGCCCATGGCCATGAAACATCTGCATAGTTGTGTCCCTTCTTGGCAGTCACAAATATAGGCGCAGGGCATCGTATGCTGGGAGGATCATTGAACACTAAGAACATTTATAAACAAATATACTCTTTCCGAGTTGATTTGATTCTTATATTTTCAAAAGTATAATTTCGTCATTGCTTTAATGTATCTTTGACATTTGACCAATATTGGTTTTAGTCTTTACTTTGATCAATGACATGAGGCTATGCATTTATTACCGAAATAGTTTATTATTCAAATAACGTCGCGGAATATTTTTTTCATGTCATTTTATTAACATTTATGTTATCTTTTTTTTTCCATTTTCCTTTTATTTTTCAGGTATCATTAGAAATTTTAAATATTTTGAAGTTGTGCACCCCGTATGATGTCCTAAAATCCAAATAACAAATAAATTCAAGAAAAGAAACTTATCTTAATACTTGTATACAGAATAATTAGATTGAAAACACAAGGAAGAAATTAAAACATGAACGTGCTTTCATTTAAAATCTTAAAAATGTTTACTTTAGGTTTTTTTTCAGAATTTATTGATGTGTAAACTAATGCCATTTTTCTCAAAAACTAACAGAAAAGTGCAAACAAATAAAATACTTGGTGAAAGCGCAAGTATACCTCTATCAACCGCTTCCCGAAATTCATTGTTTTTAATAAGGTACAGATAAAATAAGTTTATTATTATTACATTTCCGTTCTGAGAAACTAAAGCACATTTTAGTCATGATATTGTACAGAAAATATTTTCCCATCTGCCTCTACATTGTTAAGTCCCTTTAATGGAGTTTTAAATACTCAGTGTTTCAGAGGAATTGCAATATTTGAATAGTAAAAGATTGTACGTACAAATTATATGTGTGCATTATGCTTTATTTTTTTTTTTCAAATTTAAAGCACTCATTTTCACATTAGGAATCGACCAAAAATATACATAAAAACGGTGTTATTCATAAAAACTGCATACAAAATGTGTTTAGCAAATATTTTCATTTGATAAAATTCTATTTTAAACTATGAATGTTTTATTTTTAAAAATATATTTTAAAAAAAAATAAAAATTCTCAAACAATTCTCATTTATTTCTTGAAAATAATGTATAATCATTTCCAACAACGTGCGTTTTTTTTAAAAAAGAGATAGTAAAAAAAAAGAATTGATATTATCAGGCATTCCTTGTCGAAGAATAAATAAGTTACCTTTCTCACACATAAATATACAATAAATTCCCAACGTCAACACACTTAACACGACAGCGCCTGCCCTTTCACCAGGAGTGTAGACCCGCCTCTTTACACGAGGAACCAAATCTGATACATCAAACATAAACAATGTACAATCTTTCGTTTAAAAAAAATCATCAGATAAAATAAATCAACTATAACATGATCATATAAATGTTCGATGACTGCACTCAGGGTTCTGCATGATTTGAAATTTAACTGTTGCAGAGTTAATGCGATTAGGCACTTATATTTGCGGTATTTTTCGCGATCGAATTCGCAACTAAACAGCTATATATACGTTATAATTAAATAGTATAAATCCACAAACACTTTCTGGAATCACCAACCCTTTTCACAAATGTATAAATATATACTTCGCAATTCCTCAAATGCAGTCATCCTTCAAGCATTTAAGCCTAAATTAAACAATAAAATTCTTTCTTTGGTTGTTGGTACGAGAATGAATGTCGCAGCTGTTGCAGAAAAAATACATGTTAACCCGCGTAAGCGGGTTATGTAATTTTTTTCTGCAATAGCTGCGACATCCATTCCCGTACTAATAACCAAAGAAAGACATTTTATTGTTTATATTTATATCTGTTTAAATAATCTCTTAAAGTAGAATTAAAAAGATTAATTATTGTATCAATTATGCGAACGTCTTTGTACGTTTCATTGATGAAACAGTCACTGATCAAGAAACCTGTACAGGTGAAATATGCCTAGTGTATTTCATGCATTGATAAACACAATGGATTTTCTTAAGAAATAAAGGAGAAAATATTTAGTGGATGTAAATATTTACCTTTAGACGAAATATTTTCACCACATTGTCCATTCAAACAATTGTTATTTGACGTTATAGACTGATCTTCCTGTTTGAATTTCTCTGAGGGCCTTTGCTGTTTACCGAAAGGACATGGTTCCTAGGAAAAACAATCTACATTGATATAATAATTATATATACATGTACCATTGTCACATCAAAGCCAAAAAAGTCACAGTCGAACAATAGTTAACATTTTTATTTGCGTCAATTAAAACAGCTTCTCAAAATTAGGAAATGCTGAACGATCGAATCATTTGGTTTAAAATTATGCAAATATATCAATGTTCAGATAACGGTTTGTTCAATTTTGCTTCCCGAATCCCATAGGGGATAACATGGGTCGATAAGATACCTAGTTATGGTATTTATGTCCACAGGAGTTTGCGTACCTATCAATTTTACCACAGGAGCTTTACCGAAATTTTCTGTAAATTAAAAAAAAAACCGGAATACTTAAGTTATTACGTATTTTCAGTAAATAAAAAAATACGTAATACCTATAATATATATATGCATTACGTTTTTTTTTAAGTTTACTGAAATTTTTCCGTAAAAATGATAGATACGCGAACTCCTGTAATATGTCCAACAGTTTATAAAAGAAATTGAAGGAATGTTAAGTTTCTATTTGAGGTAAGATTTAAGATTCCTTTTCCGATCCCTTGTCATCATTTCCAAACTGTAAACCTTTATTTAAATACAAGTTGTCCGGTAATGGACTTTTACGAGGAGCGCTGACTTTTACAGTTGACGCTTACTTTTACACTAGGGCTATGTACGGTAGCTCCTTTACGATATAAATATTTAGCTCAACATTTAAATAAACGGAAATAACGGTTATTTCAATGCACGTATAAGCTGTCCTTGAAGAAAACGACAACGACCCTACCCTCAGCTCCCGGTCTTCACATGTTAGTGCCCCTAACACCATACCTATGACCACAAGAAAAGTTTTCTTATGCATTATCAATTCTGTACTTCCGTACATGATACAAGTTTAAATGTCCAAGTAAACGTCAACTGTAGAAGTCAGTGCTTCTCGTAAAAGTCCATTAATAGTAACCCTAGTTGACAAAGATTCTACTTTTAATATATAATTTTGAGAAAAATCTGAACTTCATATTCTTATCATGTTTTCTAAAGAATATAAGATGTATTTGCTTACCGATAAAGGGTCCTCCTCTTGGATCAAATATATCACATTAATTTGCAGTAAGCAAAGAAAGACAAATGCAAGTCTTCGGTGCTGAGGGATAAATTGCATACCTTCAGGAAAAAAATAATCAGGTTGTGCTATCTAATGTACGAGGGGTAATAAAAAATTTCGCAAACTATCTCTATATCTACAAACCACAATTCAGATTAGAATAAAATGTTGCACAAATATGACCATACACAAGTTATAGAAATAGCATGTAAGCTGAATAAAGTTTTGCTCCTTGTTTGTGACGTCACAATGTGAAAATGACGTCACTATGTAGATCGCTTGTGACAAGACTTGGAAGTCTCAGTCCTTCGTGTTCAACGAACGACTGTATAAAATTTAGGGTGTATCTTGGAAATTTCCTAGCAGTAGCGTATAATAATTTATATACAGTTAATTAAGACAAAAGACTTCCTAGAAATTTAATCAATGATTGGATTGATCGTTTGATTGAGAGAAGGGAGATGATTGAAAATGATATATGTTCTGTTGTCCAGTGAAAGCAAGGTTAAAAGAGATGTGTTTATAATAGTAATCAATTTGTTAGGAAAGAACTCCAATTTACAGTTCAAAAAATAGTTAAATATCTTAGCAGTATTATAATCAATAAATGCATAAGATATCGTTTTAGATTTTATACATAATATATATATATATATATATATATATATATATATATATATATATATATATATATATATATATATATATATATATATATATATATATATAATAAAAAGGAGATATTCATTTTGTTTCCACCTTGGATATTTACATTGCCAATGTCTTTGTCCGAGATTGTAAATGTACTTTTTTTCCCCATCAATGTATTAGCGCGGTTCCAAAAAAAACCACGTGCAGGGCGGAACAAACAGAGAAGCAGGGTTTGGAGCACGTGGATTGGCGGAATCAAAGCTTGTAAATATAAGGAAAAACTGTCAGATTTTTCAATTTCATGAGATTATCAATCGTTTGGCTTGCGTGATAATTTTATGCATAAAATTATCACGCAGGCCAATCGATTGTTCACATCATGAAATCGAAAAATAAGACAGTTATTCCTTAAATATGGTCGCCATGCTCCTTTTGGGAAAGGGTATTCTTATCCATCTATTCTGTTGACGAAATATAATTATTTCTGACAAATGAACTGTTCTTGTTATAAAATTAATTTCCTTGGAAAGAAATATTATAGAATCAGAAAAACTCTTCCAGCTTTTGTGACAGAACGGTACGGAGCAGGTCACTTGACCGCCTGTATCACGTGATTCGCGCTTCATGCGCAGAACGGTGGCAGATGCACAGGGCTAGTTTATAATATAATCAATCCTATTTTTTTTGGGGGGGGGCAGGGTATTCAACTAAATTTTTGATCACCCCTTGTAATCCTTCACATGAGAAACTACCTAAGATATCTTTAATTTATACATATAAAGCGAGACACAAATGTAGCAATCTGTACTTCAAAATTAGTCTTTGATATAAGCAAAAATTAATTTAATTTCGCTATATTGTCACAGTGGTGCATATAATAAAAAGCGTAATAACACTTTTGCGAAATGAATTATTTGTAATATTTAAAATGTTTTTAAACATATTAACATGTATGATTTATTTTCTTTTCCACAATTACCGTCTTTAATCATGGAGAAGTTACAGCTGACGTTTGAAGTACACATTCTACATCATTATCTCACTGTAAGCGGCCACGATAAGAATTTCTCCATGCTGAATAACCCTTTTATAAGAAGAGAAATGTATTTGGAATGTTTAAGATGAAGTTTTTGTTATGCAGTTTAATATTTAAAAATAAATCTTGAATACTGATTATGACTTCGAACGTTACAAACAAATATGAGATAATCATCACCTTCAACTTACTTTCAACTTGATTTTCATCAAGAGCTATAGCATCGGCTTCAAAGGATAACAGAATAAGGTTTGACGCGCAGCATATTTTTTCATAAATGATTTTTATGTCAAATCATGATATGAAGAAATTTTAACATAGAGGATAGAAAAAAGCAATGATTTATTATCACAGCATTGAATTAAAAAAAATTGATGTATATGAAATTTTTAATTAGTGTCATACTTATCAAATTCATATTGAAAAGCACAATGAAGCGCTGGTTCCGAAATTTACATTGTTGTACGTAGTTGTAAGAAAAGAATACATCTATTAGCAAGAGTGATATTTCTTGTGATGAGCATTAAGGGCGGCGACTGGGGTTTTATTAAGTGAAAATTACAATAGCGAAACTCTTTATTTTTATACTATATATAAATTACATTGAATCGAGTGTACATGCCAAGTTTGGGGAAAATCTACCGTCCAGAAATTTATAAGGGACTGTCTCAAAATACAGATACATTTACTATAGGATTATATAGAAAAGTGCCATTTTTGGCAATTTTCAGGAAATGATACAAATACTGCAATAGACTTTTTGCTCAAACTATAAGTATGATGAGTGACACTATATTGTACATTAAATGTAAGAAACACAAAATTCTACCGTCGTGTTTCCACCAAAAGTTAACGAATTTTCCTGTTTTTATACACTACTACAGAATATGAAGGATACAAAGGATGTATACAAAAAATAATGAAAATTAAGAGAAGATTCTCAAATTTAGATTAAGTTTTAAATATCAGGAGCATATATTTATTACTTTTTCTTTTATAACATTTTTATTACAACTTCATTAAGAGATTCACATTATCATAACGTCGAAAACACAATTTTTACGACGCCAATTTACCTATCAGTTGAAATATCGTTTTAAATATCAGATGTATGAAATTGTAATTAAATTTTTCAACCTATAATTTCTTCATTTTATCATTTTATTTTAATAAGTGAAAAAAAATTGCTTGTAAATAGTAAATAAGCTACATTTTACTATGATGCGCGAAATATTGCGCAATGGAAACTACAGTCGGTCCCTTTAACTGAAATATATTCTATACAAAAATTTACACACATTTTAATATTATTGTTACATTTTAAATAGCTTATAAAGTTAAAATAATCAGATGTACCCGTCACAAGCATATGTTTCGGTAATAGAAAAACTTAACCCGCAGTATAATGATAACACGTACATGTACTGTTATTATACTATGGTTTAATTTTTTTAAAAGAAACAATTGCATGTGTTAAAGATCCGTACTGAAATTTATGAAAAGTACCTTGAAGTTCAGCCACTTCTATCTTATTCTAATTTTCTAGGTATTTCTAGGTAACTCGATGGAAGAACAAATAAACTTTTGTTTACATCCTCCATTGCACAACGCAACACAAATAACGCGCTACACGCTTCAAGCTGCTGTAACTGTACACTCAGCCTCTAATTGAAAGGAGGTGATTTGGGTGCATTAAGAGAGTTTTCTATATTCCAAGGTCAAAGTCAGAAATTCAGAACCCAGTTGTAAATATTAAAAGTTTAATATATTACAGCTTGGTTAAAGTGGGATTCCACAAAAAAGAAAAACAAAGAGCAAACTTAGGTAAAGTCAAAATTTTATACTTGTACATGCATGATTTTTATGCATTATCATCTAGAAAATAAATAATTGAGCACAAAAAAAATATTAAATTTTGTAAAAATTCGAATATGGGATCTCTTGCATTATAAAGAAAAATTAATATGACATTAACCAAATATTTAATTAAATGGTTTATTGAGAAAGAAAATACTTACCGATTATATCTGCTTTGAATCACTGAAATACGTAGAAAATTGAATAAGACTTTGATAACGATCTTCGCAAGCACGGAAAGCTTATACACATGTACATAGTTGCGTACAAAAACAAATTTTGGTGGCAAAGATTGATTTAATTCAAATTTCTTCTTTGAATTCATATTTGTGATTTCTTTATACGCTTGGGTATGCTTTTTATGTTGAAAATGGATCTATAAAGGAGAATGCTTTTCCAAAGGACCCCCTCCAAAAAATTGTTTACAGTTAATATTAACTTTTTTTTTATTTCCCTGCTAAAGTGTTGTTACTGTTATCATATATTTGTTTACTTTCAGTGTTGCATGTACATGTGCCCTAATTAACTGCCACCTACAGAAAATACAACTCTAAAAAGGATCTATGGGAAACAAATTGATAAAAATAACAAACAACAATACATATTTTTGAAACATTGATGCCCTGTAAGGCAGCTTATAGCTGAACCCAAATGCAACGGTTCTTGCAGTATGTGTTTTTTTTCTGTTACCTATTATATTTAATTATGTTTGTTATTAACAATTACACTATGTGTTTATATATTTTGGCTGTTTTGTCATTTATTCATTAAAGCAATATGAGCTGCAAGTATGTCAAATTTTTTGCTGCAATATTGTACATATTAACTATTTAAATGACAAAAAAAAAAGAACATTTATAAATTTCTATTCATCAGAACTAATTATCAGCTTTGATTGAAGCAAAATTACATTACTATAGTCCTGGGCAATATTGATTTCTTATAAAAATACTATACATTCCTTTCTTCTGAAAACAAAAATAATTCTTTATATTAGTCTAATTAAACATGACCTTTAAAAGTACATACAGCATATTTTGATAGCAAAATTAATTTCTCCAAAATGCAGCTCATATTGCTTTAATAATGACCATTCTAATTCCAACCTTGCGTTTCATTTAATTTTGTCAAACAGAGCACCGTCATGTCAGTTAATATCCAAAAATTTAATACAGATTCATAACATCTGTCATTTAAGAAAGGAATTTCAAGCACAGCAATGTTCATTTCATACATGTTTTCATAACTTAAACATGTTGTTCATTTCAGTCACGTTGCTGCGCTGAATGCATTTTGTAGCTTTGCAGACAATTTTAATACAAATATTTGAAAAGAAGTACGTTAGCAGGAAAAAAGGTATAAATAAAACGCTAAATACTTTTATATTCGTGCAAAAAGCAGGAGCTAATTATGAGGACTCACATGTAATTATCATATGACCCTTAAATATTCGTAGTTGTTTCAATATTTATTGTTAATCCTTACAATAACAGAATTTTTAAATGTACAGTTTGAAAAATTAGTTTTCCTACTGATTTCCTAAAATCTAAAATATATATAATATTTGTAGCATCCTACATGTACATACCTATGATCTAAGCAGCTGACAACCCCTGAGTTCCTTATTAAAATCATAGTACATTCATCTAAATGTCATTTTCGCAGAAAAGTCTGTTTTTATTGAATAAGGGCATTAACACTCCTAAGTTCTGGTACATTCACATTCATTTTTTGGTCATTTAAAAAAAAGGTTTGTTGCTATTGATCAAAGTCATCAACATTTTCGTCCTCAAAGTACATACATTTAAGTTAAGCAGTCAGTATTAGCTAAAATTAAACAAATGTAACAATGCTAACTCACCTTTAACCGACGACAAAGTGATCTGGGTTCTTCAGCAGTAAATGAATGTCTACGAAAGTTAACACACTGACTAATTAAAGTTACGCGTCTAAATAACAACGGAAAGGGGATGCGATTTTCAACAGAAAAATATACCCTTGACCTCCTTTCTGTTT